AAAAAAAAAAAAAAAAAAAAAAAAAAAAAAAAAAAAAAAAAAAAAAAAAAAAAAAAAATTTCACTAGTATACTAGTTTATATATTTCTCACAATTTCTTCTAGATACTTTGGATGGTACCACTACTCCTGAATGGCTTTTTTCTCTGTAGATAAACTATCTTCATTGAGCTGTTTTTTGTTAATTTATAGACCTCTGGGGTTCATGTGGTCTCTGAAAGATTGATATCTGAATTTATTAACAGAGCCAAAAAAAAGATTGCTCACATGTTAACATCTTTCCAGAGGCCTTAATTTCATGCAGTATTTTGTTATATTTTGAGTTAATCAGCTTACAATAATGCATTAATCATTTCCTTATTCTGGAAAATTTTGAAATATTTTCACACTGAAAATGCTTTGAATGCTGTCTAACATTCACATTTCTTCTGGAACTTACACAGAGTAGGCACAGCATACCATTTCATTTTTTATTCTCTTTTTCCACAGAGGCTGCCATCTTTTTACCATCAGATCCAAGTTTGTGTTGTCAATTAGTCATTAAATAATTGGCATTACTCTGATGACTTAAATCTTCTATCTCCTCTTATTTTTTATTTTTAAGTAATTATAGGTTCACAGGTTCAGGGAAGTCCTATGTACCCTTCATCTAGCCTCCTCTGATGGTAACAACTTGCATAACCATAGTATAGTATCAAAAACAAGGAAATAGGCATTCAGACAATCCAGAGAGTTTATTTGGATTTCCTGGGTTTACAAGCACTTGTCTGTGTGTATGTGTATAAACAGTTGTGTGCAGTTTTATTACAAGGTAGCTTCATGTCACCGCCACCACAATCAAGATACAGAACTGTTTTATAGTTATATATTCCCTTTCTCTAGCTATTCTTAACCACTGGCAATCACTAATCTGTTCTCCATTTTGTAATTTTGATATTCCAAGAATGTTGTGTAAGTGGCATCATACAGTATGTAACCTTTTGAGATTGGCTTTATTCACTAAGTGTGATTCCCTCAAGATCAGTCCATGTTGTTATGTATCAGTAGTTTTTTCCTTTTTATTGCAGCATAGTACTGCATGGTATGGATATACCACAGTTTGTTTAACCATTTGTTCGTTGAAGGACATTTGTGTTGTTTCCAGTGTTTGGCTATTATGAATGGAACTATCGAAATGTGTGTGCAGATTTTTGCATGAACATAATTTTCATTTCTCTGGGATGAAACCCCGAGTGTGGTTGCTAAGTTCTACAGTAAGTGCATGTTTGCTTTTAAAATAAACTGCCGAAGTGTTTTCTAGAGTATCTTATAAGTTCCCACCAGCAATGTATGAGTGACCCAGTTCATCCTCATCAGCATTTGGTCTTGCTACTTTTTATTATTTATTTATTTAAAGACAGAGTCTTGCTTTGTCGCCCAGGCTGTAGTGCAATGGTATGATCTCAGCTCACTGCAACCTTTACCTCCTGGGTTCAAGTGATTCTCCTGCCTCAGCCTCTTGAGTAGCTGAGATTACAGGTGCCCACCAGTATGCCATGCTAATTTTTGTATTTTTAGTGGAGATGGGGCTTCACCATGTTGGTCAGGCTGGTCTTGAACTCGTGACCTCAAGCAGTCCACCCACCTCAGCCTCCCAAAGTGCTGGGGTTACAGGCGTGAGCCAGGGGGTTACAGGCATGAGCCACTGCACCTGGCCTTTAATTTTATTAATAGCCATTAATATAGATATATAGTGGTATCTCATTGTCATTTTATTTTATTTATTTATTTATTTATTTTTTGGGGACGGATTTCGCTCTTGTTACCCAGGCTGGAGTGCAATGGCGCGATCTCGGCTCACCGCAACCTCTGCCTCCTGGGTTCAGGCAATTCTCCTGCCTCAGCCTCCTGAGTAGCTGGGATTACAGGCACGCGCCACCATGCCCAGCTAATTTTTTGTAGTTTTTTAGTAGAGACGGGGTTTCACCATGTTGACCAGGATGGTCTCGATCTCTTGACCTCGTGATCCACCTGCCTCGGCCTCCCCAAGTGCTGGGATTACAGGCTTGAGCCACCGCGCCTGGCCCTCGTTGTCATTTTAATTTGCATTTCCCTAATGGCTTATGATGTTGAACATCTTTTCATGTGCTTATTACTTATCTATTAATATACATTCTTCTCTGAAATACCTGTTGATATCTTTTCTAATTGGATTGCATGTGTGTGTGTATACATTTTTTTTTTTTTTTTTACAGAGAGTGTCACTCTGTCACCCAGGCTAAAGTGCAGTGGCATGATCTTGGCCCACTGCAACCTCTGCCTCCCAAGTGATTCTCCTGGCTCAGCCTTCAGAGTAGCTGGGACTACAGGCATGCACCACCACAACTGGCTAACTTTTGTATTTTTAGTAGGGACAGGTTTCACCTTATTGACCAGGCTGGTCTCAAACTCCTGGCCTCAAGTGATCTGCTGACCTGAGCCTCCCAAAGTGCTGGAATTATATGTGTAAGCCACCATGCCCAGCCAGATTGCTAATATTTTTAATGTTGTGTTTTGGAAGTTCTTTTTGTATTCTATATACAAGTCTTTTATTGAATATGTGGCTTGTAAATATTTTCATCCTCTTAACAGGGCATTTCACAGAGCAAAAATTTTTAATTTTGATGAGATCCCACTTATCCATTTTTTTTTTTATGAATGGTGCTTTTGGTGTCAAATACAGGAACTCTGCCTAGTCCTAGGTCTCCAAGATTTTCTTTGTTTTCTTTTCCTCTAAAAGTTTTATGGGTTTTACATTTAAGTCCATGATCCATTCAAGTTAATATTTATGTAAAGTATGAGGTTTAGATCAAGGTTCATTATTTTGCCTATGACCAATTATTTCACACAATTTATTTAAAACGCCCTCCTGCCATCCATATTAATTTTTAATGCAGGTTTTAAAAAATTTTTACTCTATATTTTTATAGGCTCGAGAACTCTTCCTAAAAGCAGTAGAAGAAGAACAAAATGGAGCTCTCTATGAAGGTAAAAATTCAGAGCACAGGATCATATCATCATAACATTTCTGAATAACAACGCTGTTATTAACCATATTTTTTTAAATTATAACATATTTGGTATAGAACATCAGTTTTCTTAATATATTCTTCCTTCAGTATTCATTGGAAATTGGTTCCAGGACCCTTTGCAAATACCAAAATGCTTAAGTCCCTTATATAAATGGTGTAATATTTATATATAACTTATGTAAATAGTTGTTATATTGTATTGTTTTTTAAAATTTGTATTTATTTTAAATATTTTTTATCTGCAGTTGATTGAATCAGAGAATGTGAAACCTATGCATACAGAAGGCCAACTGTATTTGAAATTGTTTTTTAAAAAATAAAAAATAGAAATTGTTTTTCTATGTAACCTGTCTTTTTGCAAAAAATATTGCTGGGAAACATCATCATATTGGTAGGATGAGCAAAATAACACTTTTTTTACATTTAGCTTTAGTTATTCATTAATATTTAAAAATTGTTCATTTTAAAATATGCTCTTCTTATAGGTGAAAATTACTTCAGATGATGGGAATATAAAGAATTGAGGAAAAAATATGTATTTTCCTTTATAAGTTATAATTTACATATTACCAACAAAAATATGTGGTAATATGTGTGTCAGCTTTGTGTCTTTTATTAACCCAATAGAAATGTATAAATAAACTGATAGGACTATTTACCATGTTAAGTTTGTAATTACGCTTTCATTTTGTGATTGTAAAGATAATAGTTGAGGCACAGGAAAAATCTTTGTGCTGGAATCATTTGGAAATGCCTCAAAAATAACATATTTAGAGTTACTGCATTTATGTGCAAGTTTCTTCTAGTGATATTTTTCTTTAGATTTTAGAAAGGCCTAATTGGTCAAGTCCCTGTGCACCCTTCATTGGTTTGTGAAATTCACATCTCCACTTAGTGTATGGTAATTCATCCAGAATAATAGAATGTGGCAGAAATATGTTGAATCATAAACTTCTTCAAAGGAAAAAAGAACTAGCCTCTACAGCGCCAAGTTCTATTGGTGTATCTCTGTGGGGAGAGTTATTGAATATCATAGCTCTAAAGTACTAGACTAGTAGATTTGTAAAAAAAAAAAAAAAAAAAAATCTTGAAGGTTACTTAGCTAAATAAGAGGCGGTGGGCTAAAGGAAGTTAAATTTAAAGGATAGTTAAAAAAAACAAACTATTCTTTATTCTATCCAGTAGGAAGCATTTAATTTTCCTCAACTCTGTGTCTTAGAAAAGTTTGCTTACAAGTGTTTTTGGCCAGGCATGGTAGCTCGCACCTCTAATCTCAGCACTTTGGCAGGCTGAGGTGGGAGGATTGTTTGAACCCAGGAGTTATAGACCAGCTTGGGCAACATTGCAAGATGTTATCTCTAAGAAAAATTTAAAAATTAGCCGAGTGTGCTGGCCGGCGCATTCCAGTAGCCACAGCTGCTCAGGAGGCTGAGGTGGGAGAATTGCTTGAGCCTGGGAGGTGGAGTCTGCAGTGAGCGGAGATCGTGCCAGCTGCACTCCAGCCTGGACAACAGAGTGAGACCCTATCTTAAAGAGAGACAGAGTATTTTTGTTGGCTATAGCAATTGTATCTTCAGAGCCCAAAGAAAGACACCTGTTTAAAAATCATGATATATGAGAGGGTGAGGAAAAAGATGGGCTAATATATGAGTAAAATACAACATCTTAAGTTTAGGGAAAAGGTTCTTTCTGAGCAGTAAGGTTTGGAAATAATTTTGTGTCACTGAACTACTGTTGCATGTAGAAAAACAGAACTTGGCTGTTTGTGAAGAAAGTTACCAAATTAAACCACAGTTAAGGGTAATCAAAGGAAATGACAAAAATGTGTGGTCATAGCTAATTTAGCTTTATTTCTTCTTTTAGCCATCAAGTTTTATCGTAGGGCTATGCAACTTGTACCTGATATAGAGTTCAAGATTACTTATACCCGGTCTCCAGATGGTGATGGCGTTGGAAACAGCTAGTGCGTATATAATTTGATAGACAGTAATGCATAGAGTTTGTTAAAGTTAAGCATCTTTGCCCTATTGACTCTAAACATAAGAAGATGGTGCTAATTCTGTTAAGCTCTATATTCTTTAGTATATCTTTGTTTATAAAGTTGCAGAAATTTTTTAATTAGGGAAATCGAAAGGTTAACATAGAAATGCACCTTTTAAACAGATGTAAAAATAATAAAGTGAAAACGGTTTTAAAAAGCAGTAGTTACTGAAAGGAGTAAATTAAAGGACGCATTTCAACTTTCTGAAACCTGTTTGAAGTAGAAAGTTTTAAAATGTAATTAGGCTAAAGTTTGCAAAATGTTAATGATGGTTAAAATCGAGTGATGGGTACATGGGATTTTGTTACACTAGTTTCTTTTGTATACATTTGAAATTTTACATTTTAAAAAAGGCTTCTAATTTAATGAGGAAAATGCTGAACTATAAAAGACATTATTTTCTTAATGTTTGTTAGTAGAACATTAAAACTCTAACATTTATTTAAAAGCACAAGTGCAGAATATATTCCTAAAAGGAATCATGTTTCATTGTGTAGTTGCCACTTGCATCAAATTATGAAGTTGCATTGGTTTTATATGGATAAATATCAAGAAAAATATTTTTAAGATGATACTTTTGAAGCTGTTTGTAAGACAATTATAAAGTTGTTTTAGCTTAATTCCAGTATCTCCCAAAACCCAATTTGCTGATATTGGAAGGGAAGGGGGTCTGTACCCATGAGAGAATGTCAGGTTAAAAATAGACAATACAGGAAAAAAAAAAGTTTGTTAATGAAATATCATATTAGCTATTATATTAATATATTCCCTCTGTCATGAAATAATTGTCACCTTTATTGATAACATATGCTTATTGCCAATGTTTTAAACTGCATATGGTATTAACATGTAAGCTTTGGATAAGTCATATTAAAAACATCCCAATGAGGTCAATATTAATTGCTTGTTTAAATTTTCAGATAATAATATTGTTCATCAGATTAGAGTGAACAGTATAAGGCAGTTCATACTTAAAATGAATCATTTGGGCTTTTTCTAAATCTTCTTTAAATTTGGGTAATTTAGATTCAGCTCTTAGCCAGTTTTATAAATACGTGCCAGATGCTGTTAATAAAGATTATATTAAAATATTAAAGAGGCGTTTCTTTTCATTCCCATTTTTTTAATACAAACCCAGATGCTATGAAAGTTCTTTAAGGATACAATCTTTTTTTTTTTTTTT